CTGCTGGTAGGAGGGGGTAGTCTTGTAAAGGATGGACATGTCCACCTGCTGATTCTTGATTCTGTTCCCTTCCTAAATTGGCAACTCTCCCCTTCTGCAATGGCAGCCTTTCTTTCCTTGTGGAATGGTAGTGGCTGTAGCTAGCAGTAGAAATGCTTATGCAGTAGCTTCTCTTTCTCTCCAGGACCTGGCTTGTTTAGTTCATTGGTTGCTTTTAGAAGCTAACACCCACTGGTTGCTTCTGTTCTAGAAGAGCCTCAGGCACACAGAGCACCCCAAGAGCTTGATAAACTGTAAAGTCATTGATTGAGCTGCTCTACCTGTATGGATTTTTTTTTTTAGAGGAAGCATTTCATTTTAGGAAACCCAAATTAGGTTATAGACACTTTGAGTACTTCTTTAGAATTCACTGTGTGTGTTGGAGGGGAAATATGGACAGCAACATCGATCGCTTGGGACTTGGTTGGTTCCTGCTACCAAAATAAACTAGTGAATAAAATACAATCTGTAAGTGGAAATAACTAGTTACCAGACTGTTCAGTTAAAATGGGAGGGTCTAAAATACACAGCAAGATGGATGGATAAACCTGTTTTTTTGACAAGATGCTGCTATTGATAAATCAACCCTTTCTTACAGCTGAGGGTCAGGGAGAGCTGAGGTTCTCCGAGAACGGAAATTCTGCTGGAGTTAGCTCAGGGGGAGAAACTGTCCACGTTCAAGCCATTGTTTCAGACCTGTGGACAATTTTTTTTTTAATTTTAATTTTTTTAATTTTTTGGCTTTGGTCAAAAGGAAGCTCCAATTTGCCCAGCAGACAGCTCTCTCTGTGCATGACAGGCTAGTGCCCTGGGAGGCTGGTTGGGCAGCTCCCCTTTCCACCTTCAGCCAGCCCCTGAGAATGTTTGAAAAGATAAGCGGAAAAAAAAGCCAACCCCTTTTCAAGGGGCTGGAGCAGCCTAGTAGTTGCTAGGCAAGTTAAAGTAATTCAGTGTCCTTGCCAAACGTCTGCCATGCACACGGAACTTTGAGGGAAGGGGAGTGAGATGGTGGTGCTTGTTGGTTGCCATAGGAATGTTTCCCTGATTGGAACAAGACCACAGAGTGGGGAGAGCAAGACGCCAGCCTCCACGCGCTTTCTGCCTGGGCATGGGAGCCCAGAGTGGGTGGTGGAGCAGAGGTAAGCTGGGGAAGGAAGGCGTGGAGCCCACGGTGCTCCTGGGACAGGGGTGGGGCAGTGTGTGAGGACAGGGCATCCTGCAAAGAGGCGAAGGGCCTGAGCAGATGAGATCCTAAACGCCATGTGAATTTAAAAATCGGGGGAGGAGAGTGAGTGGCTAAACTCAGGGAGATTATGTGATGGGGACTTTCAGGGAGAATTCCAATTAGATTCTGGAATAAACCCAGATTTAAAATGGATGGAGACTTAAAATAGTGTAATTTAGTGGGGGAAAAAAATACTTAGTTTGAAGGTAGGTATTCTCTATTTATGTAAATATTATGTTGGAGCATGTCATTATTTTAGTTCCTAAAGCAAAGGTGGTAATTAAAGATGTGTTAATGAATGACACTGCTGTATTGATCAAGTGCTGATTCACAGGTGGAAAATAACGCACAGTTGACCAGATAGTGGGCTGCTGAGATGAAACCTTAATGAGACCCTCTGACCCGGGCTCACTCCCATTAGCATCGGATGGCAGTTTCCAGAATGACACCCTAGGATCTGAGTAGACAGGAACAGTTGGAACGTTGAGTGTGTTAATTTAACTTCTCTGTAACTAATCAATTACCCAGATCTGAAAATGGGAGGTGATAGCCTCCCGTCATCTCCCTAGAGTGTTGTGAGCATGAGTGCCATCTCACTTGAACACAGTTTCTGGAGGGTAGTGTAAGATCCTAGGTGCAGAGGGTGATGGTGGCTGTCAGAACGATTCAGGCCAAAGGTTTTCAATGTTTGAGGTCACAATCTTCGGGGAAACTGTGTTGAACAGAGTTTTACTTGCACATAAGAAGTATGTATGAATTTGTTATTGCTTGCCTTATATTTGATTCATGTTCAGAGGGTATTTAAAATTGTTTCTTCTTTGGAGTATGAATGCAGTATTAGGATTATTTATCACTTTCTTTTATTATGGTTTCTTTTTTAGAGTCCTATAAAAAAAAGACTAAAGGGGCATGATATTTATTCTCAAATATTTAAATTCTGGTGATGCACACATAGAAAGACTGCCACAGGACTCAGATTAGAGGTCTCTGTTGTTTGTTTCAGGGTTCAGTCAGTTTTTCTGGTCTGGAACCCTAGCGTCATTTTTACTTTGGAATTTATCAGAAGCTGACTGATTGGCATCAGTTACCTAATTGGAGGCAGATTTGCAAACCAAATGCAAAATTTTTATTTACTGGTAGAGTGTATTCTATTAAGAAAGACTATCCTTGGGCTTTTCAGATGGTGTACCCTAGGGTGAGTTTGTAAGAAGCTAAAATATGCAGTAGTTGTAATCTTTAAAAAAGAACGTAGCAGGACACAGTCGTGTACTCCCAGCTACTTGAGAGGCCGAATCAGGAGGATTGAAAGTTTGAGGCTAGCCTTGGTAACTTATAAGAACCTGTCTCAAAAAAAAAAAGGTTGGGGATATAAGATAGTACCCTGGGTTCAATCTCTAGTACCACAAAGAAAAAAAGAATTCTTATCTAGACCCTCTAGAGCAACTCTGTCCAATGAAAGTGTATTGTGAACCTCGACTTTGAGCCTCAATATGAGTCCATATCTAAAATTTAACTTTAATTAAAATTAGGTAAAGTTGAACATTTAAAATGAAGTTCGGTTTGTTGGTCACACCAGCCAGTGGCCACTGTGGTGGACAGCACAAACAGTGCTGCTCTTCTTTAGGCTGTGGACTTGACTCCCCATAGCTCAGACGGAGAGCTCCTGTGGGAACCCTTTGAGAGACAGAACCTCATTTTCTGAGTGAGGGACTACAGGCAAGTTTACGCCCCGAAGAGGAAATTTCGAATTCAAGCCAAATTAGAACATGCCTGGCGAGGAGCTATCTGCTGGTGGACCTCTCTCCACCCGTGTTCCCAAATACACCCCTCATTGTCTTCCCAACAGATAAAAACAGGCCACCCTTGATGGTCAGCCTCCCTCATCCTCCTCTGGGGCTGCCTCATTTCCATGACATCAGTGCCCTTCCTGGATGGAGAGCCCCTTTATCTCTCTCATTGTTTCAGTTTCCACAGTTGGCTCTAATTGCTGTTTTACCTTAGTGGAGCATTCAAATGTTCAAATTCCAGTTTAGCCCTTCATGAAGATCATCTCTGTCAAGGTCAAATGTGGTGGACTTAAGTGAATTTGAAAAAGAAAAAAAAAAATGTCTTCCTTTACTCCTGGGTCCAGAGTTGTATGATACCTTGCCCAGAAAAAACCTGACTTGCCATTCACCTATGTAAGTAGCTTTTGGGAGGCAAATCAGGGTTCTTCAATATAGTTACGCTGTGGTCGGTTTTTCTATATGGAAGAAACATCTCTGGTCCTTAGATAGGAAGCATGAAGAAGTCCTTACATCAGGTGGGTAGATAGGGAGTGACTTGGAAAGTGAAAACTGTCCGTACGTTCCAGAATTTTTGACCTGCACATTGCTTGGGTCTGACACAGGTTTGACTCATGGTATAATAGTGACCCTGGTCATCGGTAGATCGGTAGATGATAGAGCACAGAAGTCTATTATTTCCTATTGGGTATCTGCCATTTGCAAGGGACAGCACTAAGGTTAGTATTAAAATTCATCCTCCATGTCCTGGAATGTGTCAAGTTTGAAAAGCGCTTACGGGGCTCTTCCAGGTCTGGAGAATGAGAACCTTGGCATTGGGATGGGCTCTTGTCCAAGGCAGTAACCAGTCCTTTCTCCCTTGGCAAGGGGCTAGTTTGGAAATTGGGAATAAATACCAACCTGTTGAATCAACCTGTTTTAATCTGAGTAGGAAAGTACTTCTTTCTCATTACCACCAAACCAAACCACTTTAAAGCCAGTTGTGGCTTCGTAGAATAAGTGGCAGTTGTCAGCCTGGAAACCTTGGATGCCAACCCCAAGTCTGTCTGCTTTGAGGAGTATGATGTCAGGAAAGCCCTTGAATTGTTCTGGGCCTTGTTTCTCACCTGTCGGCTGAGGATATTACACCGAGTGATCTTGAAATCACAAATGAAATCTGCAAAGCCACTTCTAACATCTCATGGTAAGTGGGTAGCAGGACTCTGATTCTAGAGTTTCCTGCTTTGCTGACCCCCAAGGACCTTCACTGTGCACTTAGAGGCTGAGCGTGAACCAAGTAGAAGAATCGAGGAGGATGACCGGTTCTCTCTGCCTTCATGATACCTTTGATTTAGTCTGCTTCTATTTTGAGGTTGCTTTTTGAACCTCTAAAACCCACAGGTTACCTATCATTTTGTTTTGTTTTGTTTCTCCTTGACATTCCTCCTTAATGTAGCAGGTCAATAATCAGCTCAGATATCTCTATAACATAAAGCTCCCCAGTGACCTCGGAGTGAAAACAAACAAAAACTAGTTCTTTGCTGATTGACTACATGGTAACCAGAGAAAAAGTGGTAGCTGAAATGCAATGTTAAATTGTCTTCCAAATTTTTGCCATTATAACAACAACTACGATAAAGTGATGCAAAACAGGGCTCTTGGAGTTGCCCTTGTTGATATTCCTGATGCAGGTTGGGGGCCCACTTCCCTGTGCTGGATCATCACACAGGTGGGTGCTGGGCCAGATGTCTTGAGAAGGCTTCCTTTAGCTGGGGGAGATCCAGATCCTGCATATTCCTTTAGCCTTTCATCTACCAAAAAAGTCAGGGATAACAAGGAAAGGAAAGTTGTGATTGCCTATTATTTATATATATATATATATATATACCTGTTATGTTAAATAATTCACATAGAGTGGCTTATTTAATTCCATAACCACCCTGCAAGATAGGTAGGTATTTGTCCTATTTTACAGATCCATAAAAGCAAAATTATATGGCTTGTTTGAGGCCACACAATACATAATTGAGCAGGAATTTTACTTAACTCTAAAATCTGGTTACTTTCTGGCTGACATCAAGTAGTATATGGCAATATGTAAACCCCAGTGATATCATTTTGGTTCTACTTTATTTGAAGATCCCCAAGGTAACCCTGTAGATACCAACATAAATAGACTAAAATGAAAGTAGATACAGTAATTGAGTAAATTTTCTTGGTAAGCAGAGGTTATTAACCTGCAGCTCAGACATCCTTTGAAAATATTAAAAACAAAAATACCAGAGAAGCTTTTTTTTGTAAATAATGGATTTATAAGCATATTCACTCAGCAGCATTGTTGGTTGGTGGAAAAATGTACTTGAATTCTAAAATCGAATTCAATTTTCAGGGATGCTGCTTGCTTCTTTTGGGGTGAAACACAGTGCAATCATTTTGGTTTTTAAAGAAGCCATACTGTTTGAACTGGTAGTTCTCATTCTTTTACCCTTTGGGCAGATGGGGTTTGCCATTTTCATTCAGTGTCCTCCACACAGATATGGCAGTTGATCTAGTTATCTGCTGCTGCATAGCCAACCACTCCAACACTTTGTGTCCTAAAGCAACTGGCCCTGTTTGTTTGGCTCATGAATCTACAGTCTGGCCAGGGCCCAGTGGAGACAGCTCCTCTCTGCTCCACTCAGCTCCATTCAGCATCAGCAGGGGGCTGGCAGGCGGGGGATGGAATCATCTTCAGTTAGCCCATGGATGTCTGGACCCTGGACTGGGAACACTAGAGCAGCTGGAATCCTCAGGCATCTCTTTGTGTTCTCTCCAAATGCCAGCTTCAGGGTAGCCCAACACTGCCGCACTACCTGTCCCAAGAGAGAGAAAGCCAGGCAGGAAACTTGTCATCTTTTGTGACCCAGCCTAGGAAATCACACAGCATCACTCCTCTGCAGTCAATTCACTGAAGCACTTCCAGAGGCCATCCGGGTTCAATGGGAGTGGAAATGCATTCCATTTCTTAGTAGGGAATTGGAAAGTTTCTGGGAAAACCTTGCAGTAGCCATTTTTGGAAAATACAGACTGCCACAGAGATGAGCCAGGCTGCAGGTTATATGGTAGAAACCAGATGTCTCTCTCCCACCCAGGGGAGCGTGTTGGCAAGCAAATGGAATATGACTTATTCCACTATAATTTAACCCACCATAATTTACACTTTTCAAAAAAAAAAAAAAGGTAAATCACTCTATTTACTGTTAAAAACAAATTGCTTGTGAAACACCAGTGGGTGAGCTGGGACTGACCCTATATTTTTCGTCACTTTTGAGCTGATTCTTCTTTTGTATTCCTGAACTGGGATCCAATTTTAGATTCTGTGCTTTGTGTGTGGAGGTAAGCAGCTGAGTATTTAGGTAAACAGCCTCACGTTAGAAACCTTTCCATTTAACACTAAAAAGTGAAGATGAGAACACTTACCATTGAATGTTTCCTGAAAGGTTGGTTCCTGAGTTTTATAGCAGCTGCTGTCACCTCTTCTAGAAAGGAAATGATTGTTCAAGGCACATTTCTCGAGGTTTACAAAAGCAGTTTCTTCTGTCAACCTCTATTTCTAAAACATGGGAATTCCGTGGGATGGCACAACAGGCTTAGGGACTTTGGGCATTAATTAGGTTAAGTTTGTTCTAGACCTTTTTTTTATATTTTTATTTGTGCATTATAATGACCCAGAATAGTATAGAGTTCATTGTGACATATTCATACATGCATATAACATAATTTGCTCTATTTTGTTCCCTAGTACCTTCCCTTTTCTTCTCTTCTCTTCCTTCTTTCCCCTCTTCCCCTTCCTCTATTCTACTAGTATCCCTTCTATTTATTTTTAATTGTTGCATCATAATCATCACAATTATACATAAAATGGGACTTATTGTGATATGTTCATACAGGCACATAACATAATCAGTACATTTCATTCCTAGTTCCTACCTTTTCCCTTCCATCCTCCTCCCATTCCCCTTTCATCCCCCTTCCCCCCTTGATCCTCCCTACTAGTCTCTTATATTTTTGTGAGATGCTCTTTTTTGGTGGGGGGCAGTACTGGGGATTGAACCTAGGGGCTCCTACCACTGAGATGCATCCTTAGCCCTCTTTTTAAATTTTGATATAGGGTCTCACTAAGTTATCTAGGCTGTCCCTGAACTTGTGATCCTCCTGCCTTTGCCTCCCTAGTTGCTGGGCTAACAGGCATGCACCACCAAACCCAGCTATGGGATGCATTTTTTATTCCTTTTTTTCTCTCTAGCTTCTGCTTATGAGAGGAGACATTTGGCCTTTGACTTTCTGAGTCTGGCTTATTTCACTTAGCATGATGTTCTCCAGTTCCATTCATTACCTGCAAATGACATAATTTCATTCTTCTGTGGCTGAGTAGAACTCCATTATGTGTGTATCCCATATTTTCTTTATCCATTCATCTGTTGATGGATACGAAGGTGGGTTTCATAACTTAGCCATTATAAATTGTGCTGTTATAAACATTGCTATGCATGTATGCTAATTTAGTTCTTTTGGATAAATACTAAGTGGAATAGCTGGCTCATAAGGTAGTTCCATTCCTAATCTTTTGAGGAATCTCCATACTGACTTCCACAGTGGTTGTAACTAATTTGCAGTCCCACCAACAATGTGCAATTATTCCTTTCTCCCCATATCCTTGTCAGCATTCCTTATTTTTATATTTTTGATACTTGCCATTTTCTAACTGTAGTGAGATGAAATCTGGATATAGTTTTCACTGCTAGGGATGTTGAACATTTTTTCATATATGTGTTGGCCATTTGCATTTCTTCTTTTGGGAAATGTTGTTTAGTCCATTTGCCCATTCATTGACTGGGTTATTCCTCATTTGTGTTAAGTTTTATGAGTTATTTATATATTCTGGGTATTAATCCTTTATCAAAAGAGTAGCTAGCAAAGATTTTCTCCCATTCTGTAGGCTCTCTCTTCACATTCTTTTTCCTTTGCTGTGCAGAAGCTTTCTAATTTAATACCATCCCACTTTTTGATTTTTTGTTTTATTTCTTGTGTTTTAGGAGTTCTATTAAGGAAATTGATGCCTATTCCTATATGTTAGAGTGTTGACCCTATGTTTTCTTCTCGCAGTTGCCAAGCTTCTGGTCTAATTCCTAGGACTTTGATCCACTTTGAATTGACTTTTGTGCAGAGTGAGAAATAGGGACCTAGTTTTGTTCTTTTACTTATCTTATCCATTTTCTCAGCACTATTTGTTAAAAAGCCTGTTTTCGCTCCAACATGTTTTTGGCACTTAGTCAAAGGATCAGATGACTGTATCTGTGTGGGTGGCTCTCTGTGTCTTCTATTCCATTGCTCTAAATGCCTGTCTTTATACCAATATCATGCTGTTTGTTTCACTATCACTCCGTAGTATAATTTGAGGTCAGGAATTGGGATACCTCCAGCCTTGTTCTTATTGCTCAGAATTCCTCTAATTATGGATCTTTTACTTGTTCATATGCATTTTGGGACTGTTTTTCTATAGTTCTGTGAAGAATGTCATTGGTATTTTGATGGGAATTGCATTGAATCTGTAGTGACCCTATTAGCTATTAATTCTACCTATCCAAGAACATGGGAAGTCTTTTCATCTTCTAATGCCTTCTCTGACTTCTTTCTTTACAATTCTATAATTTTCATTATAGATTCACCACCTTGGTTATTAGATTTATTCCCAGGTATTTTATTTTATTGGGACTGTTGTGAAAGGAATTGTTTTCCTGATTTCTTTTTCAGTGTGTGCATAATTGGTATATAGCAAAGATATTGATTTTTTTAAAGTTTTTGGTTATAGATAGACACAATGCCTTTATTTCATTTATTTATTTTTATGTGGTGCTGATGCTAGAACCCAGTGCCTCCATTTAAAAGAAATATAAAATGTATAAATAATGCTTGAAGAGTTTAAAACCTGAACGCTTACATGCATTCTACCCAAGTTAAGGAGTGAGCCATCACCTTTCCCACATCTCTGCCATAGGTCAAACCTTCCTCTATGTCAATCATCATCCCACTTCTTCATAGTAATACTATCTATGTGGTGAAATCCTCATGTTGTTGTTGTTGGTACTAGAGATTGATCCCAGGGGCACTTAACCACTGAGCCACTTTCCTACCCTTTTATATTTTATTTTGATACAGGGTCTCACTAAGTTGTTTAGGGCCTCGCTCATTAAGTTGCTGAGGCTGACTTTAAACTCAAAATCCTCTTGCCTCAAGACTCCCAGGTTGCTGGGATTACAGGTGTGTACCACCATGCCCATCAATTTTTAAAATTTATGTCTTTTGGGGATGTGGGATGTGGCTGGGGATGTGGCTCAAGCGGTAGCATGCTCGCATGGCATGCACGAGGCGCTGTGTTCAATCCTCAGCACCACGTAAAAGTAAAATAAAGATGTGTCCACCAAAAACTAAAAAATAATTAAAAAATTATGTCTTTTATTATACAGTGCCTTTCAATTAAATTAAAAACATTTCAGATTTTGATTTGTAACTCAATAGTAGAGCATGTGAGTTCAATTTGCAGTACCAACCAACCAACAATAAAATACAACAAAAAAACCCACATTTTATATAAAGAGTTTTGCACATTTTTAAAAATTCATTCCTAAATAGTTTATATTTTTGTTGCTATTGATAATGGTATCTTTAATTACTTAATTATAGATTAACATGCAATCGTATTTAGATGTATATGAAACAAGTGAATTTCAAGTTTAGACCTGGGTCCTGTGCCCCAAAATCTCATGTATATGTAAATTTTTGAAAATCTGAAATACAGAAATCTAAGTATTGGATAATCTGTATAATAATTTATCTTCTTTTATAGCTGCCTTTATATTTTTTTGCATCTTTGTTTCTTTGTCTTATCTGTATGTCCTGGCCAGGTTCTCCAGGACAATGTTGAATAGACGTGGTGATAGCTTGTACCCTCCTCTCATTTCTGACTTTAAAAGAAGCTTTTAAAAACTATTTTTATAATTGAGTTTATAACTTTTTGTAGGGGTTTCTTTGTTTTGGTATATCCACTCTATCAGATCAAGGAAATTCTTTTCTTAGTTTACTGAGTTTTTACAATCGTGAGTGAATGTTGAATTTCATCAAATATTTTTCTATACTAATGATTTGATCATATAATTATGACTTCTCTTTTATTATTGAGATGAATTACATGAACCAGTTTTCTGATAAACGAGCTTTTGATTCCCATGATAAACCCAGTTTGGCCACTGTCCAGTTTTATTTACTAATAATCTGTTTAGTCATTATGTGTGTGGTGACCTGCAGTGTTGCTTTTTCTGCTCAGACTCAAGACAGATCAAGGTCGCACAAGAGCAGGGAGTGTTCTTTCTCTGTGTCCAGAGTGGAAGAGTAAGACTAGAATTTCTGTTCTACCATTGTGGCATAGAATTTGCTAATATGAAAAGGAAAAGCTGTCTGAACCTAGTGGTTTCTTCGTGAAAATTTCTTAAAATGAGAGTTCAATTTACTTAAAGGGCCTGGGACTGTTCAAGCTTTCTGTTTCGTAAGTCATTTGGTAAGTTATCTTTTTTCTATATATTTATCCATTTCATCTAAGGGCTAAAGTTTAAAATATCTTTGTTTATTAGTTGTAGCTTTTATAGTTATATTTTTCTTATTAAGTCCTATGATTACTCATGTGAGCTCTTTTTCCTTGACTTATGATACCAGAGGTTTGTCTTTGTTTCTTAGTTTTTACCCAAACCCAGTATTGGGTTCATTCATATATTCAATGAATATAAATAAATATTATATATTTATTTGTCTTCAATTTCTTTTTCCCATATTTTTATTTGTGTATTGTAATGGTACGTTAATGGTGAGATTCATTGTTACATACTCACGTGTGCACACAATATAACATATAATTTCTTATTCTTATTTTCTTCTCTACCTTCTTAAACTGGAGGCTCACCTCATTAATTTTGTGTTTTTCTTCTTTTCAAGTCTGAAGTTTATAGCTTCAGATGTTGATATTAGAAATAAAGTTATTGTGTCCACTTAAAACTAAAAAATAAATATTAAAAAAAAGAAAAAATTCAAAATTTTTGTTTTCCCATCAATTTCTAATTATTTTCCTTTCTGCCTTCTTAAATTGAGGCCTATCTACCTCATTAATTTTGAATTTTTCTTCTTTTCTAATATAAACATGTTAGGTTATAACTTCCTTCTAAATACTGATTTAACTCCATTCCTCAAGTTTTCATATGAGAATTTATTCAGTTCTAAGAATGTTCTAGTTTTAATTTTGAATTAATTTTGGGCTAATAGTTATTTTGTAATGTTTGTGTGTATGGTTAAATAGGTGTGGGAATTTTCTAGTTGTCTTTCTTAAATTTTTGTTTTAACTGACTACAGTTGTGTATATTTGCAGTATACAACATGATTCTTTAAAGCAAATGTACATTGTGGAATGGCTAAATTGAGTGTATTAACATACTTTACCTCACATTCATTTTTTTGTTGTGTGTGTGTGTGGTAAGAACACTTAAAATCTGCTCTCGATGATATTTAAGAATACACCACATTGTTATTAATTATAGTTCCATATTGTACAATAGATCTTGTGAACTTACTCTTCCTGTTACACTGAAAGTTTTTTTTAAATTTATTTATTTTTTACATACATGATAATAGTGGAATGCATTACCCTCATTATTACCCATTTGCAGCACAAGTTTTCATAATTCTGTATATAAAGTATGTTCATGCCAAATTATGCCATTATACATGTACTCTTTTTTTTCTACTTACAATTGTTAATATACATATATACCACAATTTTTCATACCTCTGTATACAAAGTATGTCTCTTCATACCTATATTTTGTATACTGATACACTGAAAGTTTGTATCCTTTGGATAACATCTCCCCACACCCTACAACCCAGCCAACCCCTGAAAACCACCATTCTACTCATGCTCAATAATTGAACATATAGGTGAAATCATATGGCACTTGTCTTTCTACGTCTGGCTCATTTCACTTACCCGAACATCTTCTACTCCATCCAAGTTGTCACATATGACACAATTTCCTTCTTTTTTTTCAGGCCCAATAGTATTCCATTATGTATTTTATACCACATTTCTTTGTCCATTATAGTTATATTTTAAAAATATTTCTAATTTCTAAATGCATCATTAAAAGTACATTATCTTTCATTCCAGCTCTTTGTAATTTTCTGAGGCTATTTCTATAACCTTTTCAGTTTTTAGAATTGTTTAGTATTTCACTAATTGCTGTATTCAATATTCTTTGTATATTTTATGTATTTAAAATCTATTATTGTCTTCTCTATCCTTACTAACATTTTATCTTCTGTCAACTACTAGGAGTGATGTACTGCAGTTTTCCTCTTGTTGACGGTCTGTTTTTTCTAGTTGGCATGTGTGATACAAGGAAAACATATTTGGTCTCTGCCCTCAGATCCTGATAACAGAACTCCTAAAACACTTGTAATTTCCAAAAAAAAAAAAATGGGGTGGTAGGAGTGTGTTTTGTTTTAACATTTGGTCTTTGACCTTGGTTCCTGGCACAGAGCTTCTAAAATCTTTGTAATTTCCTGAGCAATAGGGATGGTGGGAGCATCTGACAGGAGCTCCTAAATCCCATGGAATTTCCTGGGCGATAGGAGTGTCTTTTATCTAATAAGGCAACTCTGGATGGGTTTCTGGATAGCTTCAGGATGTCAGCTGTTCACCAGAAAGACTAAGCAGTGATTAGAAGCTTGGAACTTCCAGCCCCCCTCCCTGACTCTAGAGAGGAGAGAGGGGCTGGGGATTGAGACAGCAGTTAATCATGCACATGTGATGAAGCCTCCTTAAAAGCTTCTGTCATGGTGAACACATCAGTGCGGGCAAACTCAAGGAAGGCATGGACATCTCCCCCTCACGCTCTCCCTCTCCTTGCCCTATGCATCATTTCCATTTTGGCCCTTCCTAAGTTGAATCCTTTCTAATAAACCGATAAGTCTAAGAAAAGTGCCTTCCTGAGTTCTGGGAGCCTTTCTGGCACAGTACCAAATCAGAAGAGGGGATCCATCGTGGGAATATCAGGGTGATAGCTGGTTGTCAGAAGTACAGGCTGTGATTGGCATCTGAAGCAGAGAGTCTATGGGATCTGACACTAACTCTCAGTAGACAGTGTCAGAGGTGAACAGAATCAAAGGATACTCAGTTGTTGTCCACGGGTAATTGGAGAACTGATTGAGGTGGAAAAAACTCACACATGGGAGTAAGTGTTGTGAGAGTCTAGGAAATGGTTTTCTCCCCTTAACTGTGTCAATTTTTGATTTGCATATTTTGAGGTAATATTAATGGTCGCATACAGATTTAGAATTCTTTTTCCATGTTTTAGGTGAGCCTTCCAAGCAACATATATTTTTTTAATTCATTCTAGAAATATTTACCTTTAATTGGATATTAGAGTCCAGTTGCATTTCTATTTTTAGGTTCTTTATCACCCTTTTATATTTTTCTTTATTGATGTTTTCTATTTTAGCCTCTCTTTTTGCTGTCTTCTAAATTGATAATTCTTTTTCTCCTCATTTCGATTTCTCCCCATCCTTATTTGGAGGTCATGTGCTTTGTGCCTGCTCCCATGGAAGCTGCTGTTACTATTGGAACACACAGGCTGTTCTGGAATAATCCACCCTGGTGTCTGAGAACCAGCCCCAAGGGCCCATGAGACCAGAAAGGAGAGGCAGATGGGCCTAGACTGCACCGAATGCAGTTTTGGGGGAACTTAGTGACAGAAAGCATGGTCCTTGGAAGCAGCAAGACCAAAGTGGATCCTGCAATTTGGGCTAGAAGGAAAGGAATATATATTGGTTAGGACAAAAGTGACTTCTGGCTGGTCAGAATATCCCTTGTGTATCTTAATAACAAAAAGTCAGGCACATTTCTGGCACCAGGGGCCGAAAAGTTCCACATACCTCTCTAATGCTTTTGTCATGGTGAACACATCAGTGCTGAGGTGTTGTAGATGTTACAGTTACACAACTGCAGTGTAACTGGTGTACAGAGTTAGAGGTTGGGATCAAGGGTGAGCACACAGGGAGGAGTGCACAGGGAAGGAGCGGGAAGAGGCATCTTAGGAGAAACTAAAGTGCACATGAAAGGAAGGGAGTAGACTGCCAGTGTGTGCCTTGGATGCTCATCAGCTCCCCAGGCTGGAACTTAAGTGAGGTTGGTGGCAGATGGAGCTGGAGAGGTCACTTGGCTGGCGAGTTGTAGAGAGCCTTAAATACCAAAGTGAAGGCAACAGAGAACGGGGGTGGGAATTAAGCAGGGAGTGTGTGTGTGTGTGTGTGTGTGTGTGTGTGTGTGTGAGAGAGAGAGAGAGAGAGAGAGAGAGAGAGAGAGAGAGAGAGAGATGCGTTATTTAGGAGTAAAACATGTGACTGCGTGGAGGGCCATGAGCAATTGTCACCTAGGATGGCACTGAATAACTAGGCCAGGGCAAAACAAGGGTAATGAAGAGAAGAGATGAGAATTTAAGAGACGTTTACAAGGTTAAATCTTTTTTTTTATTGGTTGTTCAAAACATTATAAAGCTCTTGACATATCATATTTCATATATTAGATTCAAGTTGGTTATGAACTCCCAATTTTACCCCAAATACAGATTGCAGAATCACATCGGTTACACATCCACATTTTTACATAATGCCCTATTAGTAACTGTTGTATTCTGCTACCTTTCCTATCCTCTACCATCCCCCCTCCCTCCCCTCCCATCTTCTCTCTCTACCCCATCCACTGTAATTCATTTCTCTCCTTGTTTATTTTCCCATTCCCCTCACAACCTCTTATATGTAATTTTGTATAACAATGAGGGTCTCCCTCCATTACCATGCAATTTCCCTTTTCTCTCCCTTTCCATCCCACCTCATGTATCTGTTTAATGTTAATCTTTTCTTCCTGCTCTTCCTCCCTGCTCTGTTCTTAGTTGCTCTCATTATATCAAAGAAGACATTTGGTATTTGTTTTTTAGGGATTGGCTAGCTTCACTAAGCATAATCTGCTCTAGTGCCATCCATTTCCCTGCAAATTCTATGATTTTGTCATTTTTTAGTGCTGCATAATACTCCATGGTGTATAAATGCCACATAAATCTTAATAGCAGATTTAAGGCAGAGAGAAGTGGGGGATGTACTCCAGGGACTGATTAAGAGGACGGCCAGATCCAAACACAGGAGGGAATGTTTATGTTTGGGACTGAAGAAAAGGTGCCACTTGGGAGAGAGAGAGAATGAATCCAGTTGGTAACAAAACTTTTGATGTGTTTTCAGGACGAACAGTGGACTGGTTTTAGAAGAATCGATATTTAAAAAATCAGGGACCTCTTAAATCAAGATGCTGCATTTTCTGGTAATACTTGGTTGTGGTCATGACTGCTTTTCTTTCCTTGACTTTCTGAATTAGAAAAAAAGAACTCTGCTTTCAAGATGCAAAGGGTCTATTTTCAGCAGTAAATAAGCATAATTAACTGTTGGATTTCAATTACCTTCTAGGTCAGGAATTTCAAATGTAGTGCTGCCTTCGCTGTTGCTGCTGAACACTGACTGCTCTGAACTGGGGAGACCTCTCGTCTGGGGGGGTCTGTTTTTGTCTTAGTTCTGTTCTCAAACTGCCAGATACATTTGAGAATATCTACCTGGTATGACAGGAGCCAAAGAAAAGAAGGAAGACAAGGGAGGAGGGGAAGGGAAACAAATCCTTCATGTAATTAAAAAAGTATTTGCAGGGCTTATTCTTCCTACCTGCTGTTTTGTAGCTAGCAAGATCAGATCCCCCCACAGAGGTTGCCTCCTGGCTTGTGAGCCCAGAGGAGGGCTTTCCTTTTGATGCATGGGTCATGTAATAATTGCAATGGGCACTGCTGAGAGCGACCAGGGGGAGTGTCCCCACCAGGGTGTGTGTGGAACAGCTTTGCCAGCAGGTATAATCAGTCAGCCTGAAACTTGAACAGGACTCACTCCTGGAGTGTTCTAGCTGGAAGAGGATCCCATCACCTCCAGGCATCTCTTGATAGAGGAAAAGGAGCTGGCAGGCAGAGGGGAGGGGGTTGGCACCTTGTACCGTAAAGTGTTGTGTTTTTAAAAAATATTTTTTAATTGTCGATGTACCTTTATTTTTTATTTATTTATATGTGGTGCTGGGATCGAACTCAGTGCCTCACACATGCTAGGCAAGTGCTCTGCACCTGAACCCACAACCAGAGCCCTGCATAAAGTGGTTTTTATTCCATAAAGTGGGGAGAGATGTATTCTGCCAGCAGCCTTGTGATCTGAAGCAATCCCCAGTCTCTTTAGGTTGGTGATGAGGGCCCATGGAGGCCCTGATGTGTGTGGATCAGCTGCTGTGAAACTGTCGGATCAAGAAGTAACTCAGGGCTGGGGCTCTAGCTCAGTGGCAGAGCATTTGCCTAGCATGTGTGAAACACTGGGTTCCATCTTCAGCATCACATAAAAATAAAAAAAATAAAGGCATTCTGTCCATCTATAACTACAAAAGATTAAAAAAAAATGTAGCAGAAGGAAAATTGGCAAGTGAAAGGGTATCATACCAACCCAGCAGAAAAGTAGAACTTGAGGTTTTCAATTGCAAAAGGAGACCTGAAACCGTTGCCGGTGTAGTTGGACTTTACAGTAAGAGCAAGAAGACGTGTCCCTCCATCTGCATGGAATCGATGTTGATCGCTGTTCGCTATTTGCACCTGCCTCTGGCAAGGCACTAAGAAAAGCCAGTCACACGTGTAAACACGTGTGAACAACTCTGGGTGTTTTAACCAAAATTTCCTCATTTAGTCTGTTGTGCAGTTAAGGAAACTGAGATGCTCAGAGAGACTAAGGAGGCTGCCCGTGGCCCCTGAGCAGGTGTGTTAGGGCCACGGTTCAAACCTGGATTAGAACTGCTGACAAAATCCATAGCACACTGCCTCCAGTACTTTCCTCATTGGAGAGAACAGGTGTGGTCTCCATGATGAATTCATCTCACGCAGGTGACTGTTCTTCCACGCCTGCCCAGGTCCCCAGGTGCTGTCTGTCTTGGAGAAAAACACCTGAGGAAGGAAGGGGTGGCCCCCGGCACAGCAGCCAGCCCTGTTTACAGCTTTTACTTTGAACTCTTTCTTGAATTTCTGTTGGGTCATTTGTCAGCGATGTTTTTAAACTAGTACATTTTTTGGCTGTCCTTATCACAAGGACAATTACACAAGGTTCTGACCAGCAAAGATGTCAGTTGTCTAAACACGGGGATTTGTTCCTTCTTTTTCCTAGTGATTTAAAATTGACTGGCCGCCAAGAAAGAACCAAATGTCAAGCTATCAGGAAAGGCAGGAACATGTAAAGATTGTCTTGGGAGCAGGTTTGCTTGGTGCCAACCTGCAGAGGCTTTCTGCATC